TCTGCAACGCCTCCTGAAGATCTCCGAAGTGTTATTCGAATCCGATTCCCCGGTTTTGGTTTGTTGACTGGATGAGATCTCTATTTCTCAGGCTCCAGGTGAGACCACTCGGGAATCGCCTTGATCTGCTGCCACATAAACTTCTCAAGCTTGTTGGCCGACTTTGCGTATGGAGTACTCTCATTATTGTACTTTCGGCAGTTATCGAACACCAACTTGGCGTCTCTAATAAAATCCTCAGGCGTGAGGTACTGGTCGGCTTCGAGCTTGCTCTCCATAGTACTCAAATCCATGGGTTCCTTGATCACGTCGTAGTAATCGGCCACGTCGTCGCGATTGACTGGTACCAGGAATGGCCAGGCTGAGTTGTGGTTTTGAAGATCGTTCAATAGATGAAGAAGTTGGTTGTAGTTGGGTCCATGGCGAGGTTGACGCGCTAATTCGTCCATATCGGGTGACCATCCTGATGCTCGAATAGCGGGGATATCCAGAGGGTTGATTTCCGTAATTCCATTCCTCCACTCTTTCGGAGGGGCATGAATGTTGTGGGATTTGGAGTACGCTCGAATCTTTGCTTGGACGCATTCTTTCTGCTTAAGGAGCATGCGACCCATCTCGAGATAGCGGATCCGTGGCAGCATAGAACACTGCATAATGGTACCACCTTCGTAATCCTTGATGTAACCCATCCATACCTTCTTGTCGAGAGTAATTTCTTTGGTGAAGCCCTGCTTCTTGAAGTAGCCAATCGCATAGTTGTCAGCATACGTCAAGAAATGCATCACGTCGCTTGTCGCTTTAACATAGTCTTTCAAGTGAGACATAAGATGGGCACCGTATCCTTTGACTTGCTGGTCAGAGCTGATGGCACAGAAGACAATTTCGGCGAAACGGCGTCCTTTGAATGGGCGATATGTGATTCCACCAACAACTTCGAGGGGTTTCTTGACGATGGCGATGGACAAATGAGTTCGGTCGTAGACAAGTCGCGCGATATAATCTTTGGGCATTTTCGGTAGCTGTTTCTGAAAGATACACTTGAGACCGGTCAAGATTATAAGTGCTTCGCGCTCATTGTCGTTGTTGACTACTCGGAACTCGATTTCACCATTGCGCTCTTCGATAACAGCGGGCTAGAGTTATTGTTAGTATACATGCACATGCCTCAAGTTTTGAGTTGTTACCTTTTCAGGGAATGGGATTCGTTTGACTTCGGGCTTCTTTTCCGGTGGCTCGGCGGAATCATCCTGCTTGATGCGCTTGGATGGAGTAGGAGATGATGGCTCCTCCTCGGCTTTGCGCTTGCCGTCTGTTTAATCGTACGTTAGTGATTTGACTATTGTCGCGGTCGCATTCCATGTAGAACTCACTTTCTTCTGACATAATTAATATGAACTTAACCTGGGTTGTTGGGATTCGAAATTATTCAGGGAGAAGTTCGATATGATGGGATGCAGCATCATGAGAGCGGAGTGAAGCGCGTCGAAGATCGTCCGTGCGTTGCTTATGTCATTCGATGTGGGCCCTAAGCTGAGGGAAGGAAGGACAGGGGCACCCATGCACTAAACCTAATTCGTGTATGGCCACGATGCGCCATCGTAAGCTCATGAAGCTTCCCCAGAGCATCTTCTGTCTACAGCAAAGCAGCCACAGAAGTTGACACTTTGCCAGCAATTCTTCCCCGCAACACATTCAATTCTTGCTGCGGAATCCTCAACAACTTCCAACTTCCAAATCCCACTTTCCCTCCCAACAAGGCCTATGGATTCTTCGCTGCATGAGGTCTGGCAAGCTGCTGCTGGCAGTCCCTTCTTCCCTACCGTGAAAAAGGACACTCAGTTCACGGTCGCTTTTGCCCTACTCATCGTTGGTTTCTTCCTCACTGGTGTCTTTGCTCTCAGTATGTGCCATTCTTCATTAGTCCATTTCTGCCTGCTGACCTTTTTTAGACCGTACCTTGATCAACGTTCCCCTACTGGGCGTTCCGGCTTCTCTTGCACTTGGGTACGTTTCCCATCCAGCATCAATCATCGCCAAAATACTAACCTCAGCAGGTTCGGAGTCGTCTATATGTTCTGTGCGGTCGGAGTCTACATCTAAGATACCCAAAAGTTCTCGTTTCGGTCGATTTCGTGTAAAATAGTTGGAGCAATCAAGAGAAGACGCTACTTGGCGCGCCAATTGCCTTTCTGCCAGTTTTTGAACCTTTCATTCACGCACCTTTCCCAAACAACCACATCCGCAACTTCGATATGTCTACAGAAGCTCAACCCATCTTCCGCGCGGTTGCGACTTCCACTCGCCCGCTGTATCAACTTTTGAGATGCATAAACTTTGCACCCAGAGTTCATGTTCAAATTACAGAGGAAGGTGTTCGTTTTGCATCTGACCATGCGCGGGTGATGCAGGGTGAGTTTTGCCAGTAATATCAGAGTGACCAAAACTGATAGTCAGTAGGCGTTGCGTTTCTCGACAAATCTCTCTTTTCGTCATATACAGTCAATTTACCTCCTCAGGATGGCGATGACGCGTCTGAACTTCCCAATTTTCAACTTTCCTTATCATCAGTCCTTGAAGTGCTTCAGATCTTTGGGGCCGTGGATGTAGCCGCTCGTGCTCACAAAGCAGAGCAAGACCCTTATCGCAGTAATCTCCGGAATTACCGCCCTGATGCTTTCAGCAACCAAACCCTTGGTATTTCTGGTACTTGCACTCTCCTGTACGCGGAAGAAGGAGACCCGTTCAAAATCACCATCGAGGAATCTGGCGTGAAGACTACTGCGTCTTTGACAACCTATTTACCGGAAATACCCGATGATATTCCTTTCGACCGCACTGATCTCACCTTTAAAATTATCATGCAATCTCGAACACTGCTGGACTCGCTCGCAGAAATTTCTCCAACAGCTCCTTTGAAGTTGACAGTTACAGCCACCAAAGCCTCACCTTTCCTATCGCTTGCTGGTATAGGAGATCTGGGGAGCTCAGGGGTGGATTTTGCACGTGGCAGGGACCTTCTCGAGACTTTTACCATCCAAGATCGTTGGTCGCAGGCCTACAAATTTGACTTTATCAAGAATTCGACAGAAGCGATGCGAATCGCCAACAAGGTCAGCTTACGAGGAGATTCACAAGGAGTTTTGAGTCTGCAGTTCATGGTGGATATTGAGGGTGGTAAGCGAAGCTTTCTTGACTTTCGGTTCGTGCCTTTCCTTCAGGAAGATGGCGAGAATGACGATGCAGATGATGGCGAAGCTGAGTAATATGTCGTGGATATCGACCACAAAACCGTGATAATCTAGTAATGAATGGCCCTCATTCAACGTTTGCATGTCTTTCACACTTGCCAGATTAAAGATTACTGATCTTGGTAAGCTTAAACTTGTGAAACCGTGTCGTAGACCCTCTTGGTCTGATCCTCCCTTGATCTGCTAACGGAATGCAAACCCTTAGAATCTGGAACACCCTACCTAGAAGCCATCATGATTGGAATGGTGGACCCAGCCTTTTCGCATCACTGCATCCATCAGTACGTCGAACACTGATCGTGTTGAAAAGGGGCCTGCTCCCTCTTGTAGTCATTTAATCCTATCCTCGTACATCTAAATCATTTAATAATCTGCACAATCTGCTGAGCAGAGTGACTGCCAATTCTTCATCATGAATCAATTTCGAGAGATAAATATCATCATTTCATCAAGGCCAAGCACGACTGGCACTATTGTAGCAAAGAACAAGAGAAAGACTGCTTGGTCTGGCTGTCTTTTCAGCCCTATCAAAACATGGGCAACAACCATGTTCGGAAATAAGCCTGTATATGTCGACATCGACGACGAGTCAGAACCGTTACTTAATGAGAAGAGAACACCGACTACACAAACGGTGTCGAGTTTCATGCGTAGGGCCGCATCACGAACGATTAGAAAATACAGCCGTCTCCCATAAAGACCACCCTGAAAACTTGGAACATCGACTTCTTCGACAAACGAGACAAAATAGGAGGAAATAGAGCACACGGCAGGCCTGTTTGATGCTACGAGACTTTGCGAGCGAACGATGGATTTTGGCTATGACATGAATTACGAACAAGAGTATACAAAGGAAGCTCGACGAATGATGGAGTTACGGTACAGGTGCCCCTTTTTTGAGATTTATATGCACAATATTTCGACGCATATTTACTAGATATTTGCCGATCCATGTCTAAGCGAAAAGGTGTTCTCTCGTACTGTTTCGGTTGGTGTGAGCCTTGTCTTTCTGTGATGTCAGTTCCATAACTAGGCACGTAACCCAGGAGCAGACTCGGAAAAGCACACGTGTGCTGGGGACTACGCAATCTGCAGCACCGAGATGGTTTTCATCTTTGAACATAACACCATAGGTTATCTTCAAAGAGTGCAGGTAAGCAGAGAATCCTCGGGTGATTGCCCTCCATTCGGAAGAATAAGTGGTATTTGCTGTGCGTTTAGTTGAAGTCACCCTCCTACAAAACAAATATGTATGGGACGAGGGATTCCTAATGAAACATCATTCACATAAGCGGAATCATTAGGACTTGGCTTCATCAGAGCAGTTCATGGCTTTAGTAACATCAAACTGGATGCATGGAAGATTTTATGACATATGAATATCAAGGGTTTTGTGTACGAGTTATATCGCCACTTCACTCTCGATGCGGGCGAGGCATAGATACAACTGAACAACCTGGCGAAGACCATGGGAAGCGAGCATCCGAGTCAAATTATATTAATTTTTATTATTTAGCTTTTAACAGTGGGCTTTCTCAGTTGCATCATGATCGATAAGGAGACCATTGTAAGTCGCGGCAACATTATCATGTTAGGCTCGCAAAACATTGCGAGAGTTGGGACTGAAGGTGTTTACCATATTACGACCAGTCCCTAGGCACCTTCGCCATATTTTTGCATCATTGCCTCTACTACCCGAATGTTTTCTTTCCAGTATCCCTCTGCTTCTGATGCGGAGAGCTTGGGGGGCCTCTACTCAGGCTTCAAAAACAGTCCAAACTTCATCCACTCGAGGAAAACCTGCGTGGTTTCACTCTCGTTAACCAGTTTCCACTTGGGAATGGTACCCCAGAAAGCTTGGCGGAGCTCATCTGAACGAGGGTATTCTTGACCGAACCCGTTTGGAGCGTTTTGGCGGAAGAACATTTCCAGAATGTGATAGGACGATGCAACTGGTGCAGAGGCGACGAACTCCCAATCAATGATGGCCTTGATGTCGGTGTTATCTTCACTAGACACAATAATATTGTGAGGACCCATATCAGAATGTGACAGGGCAACTGGTATTTGCTCCACGATATGTGGGGTGTTGTGAAGACTGTTGGATACAAAGTTTCGGATGCGCGTAAGATACAATGCCTTGTACTCATCGATTCCTTGTTGCTTCTCGAGGGAGACTAGTGATGCGTTGATATAAGCACGGAGATATTCTCGTACGGAGGAGAATGGCCCGCCGAGACTGTAATGTCGATCTGGATCGATCCTGAGATTGAGCTCGTCGTTGACCAAATCGGCGACCACTTCTCCGATCAATTTTGGTTCTGGGAACGGGATGTCCCAGCAGGCTTAGAAAGCACGAGTGACTTTCGGAAAAAGGTTGATCTTTTGCTCGTGGGATAAGCTGGGGTATACCGAGGTGCACATTACGCCTGGCATCACCTGGGTTATCTGCCTCCCCATGCCAGTTGTTTCCTGCCGTTGTTTCCTGCCGTTGTTTCTCGTGAGGAATAGGGTACACAGGGGGTACTGGTAGGAGTGTAGGGCTGATGGTTTTGGTGATATAGGACATCAAGGAGTCCGTTGACGCAACATTCCCGTGGTGGCATAGCTGAACGACATAAATCGAATCGGTGCTCTCCTTTACTGTCACTTTGTACGAGATGCTGAGTGCGCCATCTGTGAATCTTTCCCATAATGACAGGTGCTGGCCGGTGGCAGAAAGGATTGCTTCGGAAAAGTCTTGTTCCTAAATAACAATAGGGGATGGAGGAGATATGTTCTTTGATCTCCTATCGATTTTGATCAAATATCGATTAGGAGGTACAGGAGGTCCGTCGAACTCCTCCAAAGTAGCAGACCAAGTGAAATAGTCTGGAGTGGCGTTCAGCAATGAATAGCCAACTGCTTTACCCTCTGGAGGACACAGGGCACCGGACAAGGCGAAATACACTATAGCAGCTGCAGCCTCATCTTGTGTGAGAGGGGTTGATACCATGATTGTGTACCAAAATCTGATGTGGAATTGAAGCCGGGTAAGCAGTTTCAATAGTGGTAGGAGGAGAAAATATGAAAGTTTCGTGAAGAAAAGCATCGAGGCAGTTGCCAGTGAATCAGTGATGCTATAACGTTTTTGCTAGATATTTTGAATTTCTAATTCATCCAAATGAAAAGAGGAGGAAAGAACATACTTAGGTTGCTGCTGTCTGTACAGCGCGACAGAAGCTTCCTTTATAACCGACATCGTAGGTAGCTAGAGTTCAAGCCGTATGAGTCACGCATTCCATGGTTGGAAAACCTACCTACCTAGTCTTGAGAAAACGGGCCAAAATAAACAAAAGAAAGAACATACTTGGAATCGTAGGAAGGGACGACTCGTCCACTGTCAGATGCGTCTCTTGTTCACATCAAATCCTAACTAAAACACCACTAAATCTCTACGAACTCATTGGACAGGAGGTCTTCCAACCATCAATCCTCACCGCTGCTCTGGCGGAAGTTGTTTCATCTTGAGGCGATCATATGGTCAATCCTTTCTGCAAGAAACCGTAATTCACCGTCTGAGTATTGGAAACAATAAAGTATTGTCAATGCACACAGGGAATTCTCTTTCCCGTTATCTACCAAATATACGTCAATAAAGTCAGTAAATTGATCGTTCATTGCCATGATACCCCCTCGTTCACTTTCCCAGGGCACAAGAACTGCTGATATACACTCGCACAGTTCTCGGATTGACCGCTCCGCTCAGGGCTCGCACTTCAGGTCGTGATGCAGAGTTCCGAAGCCTGGAGGTTGTGATGCAGATAATCATGCAAGCCATAAGCAGGCTGAGAGTTGGATCGTTTCCATTAATGCAGAGTCCCGTTCCGCCTGGTCTCCGATGCTGCGATACCACTAGGCAGGCTGTCATAGGTTCGAGTTACCCGACGTCAGGTCGGCCTCTTACCAACGGGTACCAACGTCAACATGTTGTACGGGCCTTTCTACTGGGTTCGATTACCCAATTACCGGGTCAAGGACTAAATCGAGAATCAGTTCTTGCGTCTTGAGTGGTTGATGAGTTGTTGCACAAACTGGATACAATGACCGGGCCTCGACATTCGATATAAGACATCTTGTTTCTAGCAAGCCTGAATTGAGAGGCCTGAATAGCGTCAGCCACTTTCAATCAATAACCAATCAGCACAACAAGAAATGTTTCTAACACATTGCCTATTGTTACGAGTTTACTTGGTTGCAGCTTTTGGGGCATATCACTCCACAGCACCATGGTCATGATGAGTCTATGGACACAAGACGGATCATACGACTCCCTTAGGAATGATATCCCCGAGTTCGTCCCACCGTTTTTATTGTTGAATATATATTATTGAGCCAGTCCCACGATATTTTACTGTTTACTTGTTTGCAGGCTAAAAACGCTTTCTTATTCCGCATTCGGGTCCGTTGAACTTTCGGTCCATCTAACAAAGCCTCTAATCCGGCGATTAGGAATGACAGCGTTTCCACTCCAAAGAGAGCATATACTTGACGCATTTCTCGATAAACTTTCTTTTCAACGTTCTTCATTTTTTTGTTTTGTTTCTTATTATGAGAAACGGTTTCCCGAATTCTTTTCGTTTCGTTTGTTGCATCGCCAGGCTTTCTGCTGGCCAGTCAAAATGCCTGGCTTAATACGGCGACTTATAACTCCTCAACGGTCACTACCAAAGACTCGACAACAGAAGAACCAAAATCGAAATGGCGACGATCTTAGCGATTCGTGTGAGGACTTGAGTTCTTGCTGCGCTAAGAAGTCTACACAAAGAAGGACCAACACCACAAAGTCACGTCTTCCTGTGCCAAAGAAAAGCTCAGTCATAGCAACGCCAGTTACTATTCAAAGAGTGCCAGAGATTCATCGTGTTCCAAACCCAGTTCCTTCTTTGCCAACTCCTCACCTAAGAGCTCCGTCCATAAGCTCCTCATGCTTTGAAGGACGAAATGCAGCCCTTGAGGCTCTCACTGGCAGTAATGCCATCAACAGCAGACCACCACATGTTCTTTGTCCTGTTGAACACGGGCAATCCCACCCACATTCCTACCACCAGTCCCATTCCTCCCAATCCTCACGGTACCTGCGCCCCCCTCGTTCTAGGAATGGCAACTATACTTCTGTTAATTACAGTATCTCACACCATGAGAGGGTCTCGCCCGAGGCTTCGATTATTTCTTTGTCGGACCATGGCGCTGACGTTTACGAGGTCGAGCCAACCAGCTGGCAGCCCGACCAGCCTGTGTACGACGGTCAAAGCCTTGGCTCGTCATCAGACAGCGTTGACCGTCTATTTCGTGAGACCGATGAGGCATTCAAAGCCTTAGGCTCTGCACTTAGAGAGACTCAACGTGCATCGCAGTTGTCTAATTTACCTCCACCACCATCACCACCTGGAATACCTACAAACCATAAACATTCCAAATCCATGCCTCTGCCAGCAGGCTTCCAAAAACATTCGAGGTGGAGAGGCGAGGAATCATCCTCCATTTCCTCCCACCGGTCATCTCCAGACAGACGGGCATCGGTGGTTAAGAAGCCTCAAAGAAAGAAGCAGAGTTTTGTTGGACAATCTTTTTCCAAGGCAGCAACTCTCACTCCACGATGGACCTTGTCAGAGAATATGACGGGTATCCTAACGGGCCAGCGTTTCAGGCGCATTGAAGCTGATGAGATGTTGACACCCGATCGTATCGAAGCGCTGCGAAGGAAACGAGAAGCGGCGCAACAACAACTAGACGACGAACGGGCAGAGGAGCGTGCCAGAGAGCGTAACTCAATCGATTCGGTCCGGAGTGCGGCTTCAGACAATTCCGAGACAGATATCGAGCCATTTTATCTCGACGAATTGGCATCCCGAATAAGAGCGAGACAGGCTGCAGAGAATACGGTTGTTCCAGCCGAAACAACACTCCAGACACCAGAGTTGACTCCTGATCTGGATTCCTTTCCTCTGGATATTCCGAAAGGAACGCCTTTGGTCGAAGACAACAAATCTATTTGGAGTATCCAGGATAAGAGCGACACTTCGCCAAATACTTTGCCTCAACTTCCAGCTAGAAGCCCTGCGCGCCTCGGTACAGAAACAGTTGAAGTATTGCCATCAATACCAGAGGTTTTGGGAAATGTGGCTGCCAAGTCACAACCAAAGTCGCCGAGTGATGAGCCAGCCACCGAGCCCCCTAAACCGAGCATTGAAGAGACAGACGAATACTATTACTTGAAGAGTACACCTTATACACTCACAAAACCCTCTTTCCGTCATGGGCCGATCACCCTAGCCAAGGCTGAAGTTGAAAAAGGTATAAAAAAGATGGACGATACATTGGACTGGACAGCATTCCAGATGGCGATTTTAGGAGGAGCCGGAGATTTATTCCCAGACATGTCCATTGACGAGGACACAAAGCAGGTGGAAGAAATCACGTCATGGTTCGATACCTTTGGTTTTGAGACATATGGGGCGTTGATTGGAGATGTACCTGAGCCAGAGCCAGAAGCCGAGCCTATTCAAGCGCAAGCAACACCATCGCTACGGTCATCATCCCATAGCACATTCTCGTCAACGCCTTCGACTATCGATACAGACGTTGACCTTCCGATCCCGGTGGGTGCTGAGTTTCCCTCCGGGTTCTGGAACGCCCCGGCGCCCGGTCAAGCTCTGGACAAAGCTAAGTTTTTCAACAGCACAGGGCTAAAACGATGGGTTGGCGAGGGACGACCCAAATGCCCGACTTTACGCAGCGAGGACGAGGACGAGGGAAGTCTACCGCCGAGTCCTATGATGCCTCTCGTGGTTGGCCAAGCCCATATTCCGGACACGGTACCGATGGGTTATAACCTACATCATGATTTAGGTGACTTTTTGAAATGGGAGGCGGAGAATGTTTATGCTTCTGGGTTTAGCAAGTCGCCTTGAGGGTGGTTCGCGTTTGATTGATACCTGAGTTGGGATATCCCATATCCCCTGCATGATGTTTTTTACTTGATACCTAGGCATTTGAAGCGCGTATAGCATTTACCTAATTTAGAGCAATAGTTAGTATTACGCATAGATGAATTAAAAGAATAGATGTTTGATGTTGAATTAACTTGAATGTTGACAGTGATAATGTTAGAGTCAACCAAGGTTTCTTAGCAGGGGATACGCCACTAAACCAATCAACACAACCACTAGTCATGCAACTCCACACAATGTTTACATCTCACTTGCAGCACATTTCAGCATCATTTCCAACACAAGAAGACATGAAACACACGAAGCAAGGCTTCTCATAATCAACAACCTTTGCCTTTCATCATTTCATTCATTCATTCAGGCCCGACCATCACTCCTCTCAAAAAACTCCTCATCACAACAAAAGCTCTTTGTTCTCTCTCACTTCCTCGAGCCCAAAGCAGCCAACATCTCACTACATACCTACCACTCCATCAGGTTCCTTCACAAAAAAGAAGAAAGAAAAATGCTTAGACGTCCCGCAACAACACTGCACATCACCTCCGAAGACGTCGCGTCCTACGAAGACCGACGCGCCCGCGAGGCCCTTGTCGCAGCACAACAAGCCCGAAGAGCTGCAGCCGTAGCAGCTGCTCAGCAGAGTCAGGCGGATATGGAAGGTGTGCATCAGGCGTTGCAGGAGAGGGAGAGGGATGATGATTTGAGGAGGGCTAGGGAGGAGAGGATGGGTGTTTCGAGAAGACGATGAGCGAAAGGAAATCGGGACATGAGATATGGGAACTGGGAATGGATTATTGTATGCTTTGGGATTATGGTATTCGAGATGGAATTCATCTCGTTCTTTATTACTTTTTGATACATATAAAAATGTTTGGTGTGAGCACAACATCCAAAATTGGACTTTTCCCCCATATTTCCCCTTTCCACGTAATATACTGTGAGAATATTATGTACATAGTTTATCCCTTCCATGCAAGATATGCAAAAAACAACAGCACCATCCAAACAACACGCCAAGCCGTGGTCCAAAGCTCTCGGCCAATCACCCCAAGAGCTTTCTTGCCACCGATGCGTTTATCTTGAACGCCTGTGGTGAAAAGATTGTCGTCGAGGTGTATGCGAGGCCCGCTAGCAGATCCCCAACCCCAGCGCTTATCATTTCGTCCTCCGCGTCGAGCTTGCCATCGATTTGATGTTTGGACAGGAGAGGCGCTCCTCCCGTGCCGCGGTGCTGCGCGTGAGGGGAAATGGTGTGCTGAAGTTCCTGAGGATGTCGTGTTGCGGTATGATGAAGCTTCGGGAGGATCCATCTTGTCTTTATACATGGGTAAAGCACTTGAGGCTGAATGTTTCTCAGGTTCGAGGGCGAAAGGGGTGAGTGAGAGTGCGGGAACAAGTGCTGCGCGGACGACTAGAAGAACAAGAGTTGCCACGCCAAAGACAATGTATTCCATATACGTATGGATTTGGTTAGGTAAAAGACACATGTGTGTCTGAATCGTCTGCTCTGGTGCTCCAGGTAGTGGTTTACCCTTTGAATCAACAGGGTTAAACATGCTGACCATGAGAAAGCCAGGCGTAGGTACACCCATGGCCATGCTCATACTCTTGACGGTGATTTCGCGGACGTTCTCCTTTGCATCAGAGTGCACAACCTCGCAGTAGTCATGGTCATCGCCTGAAAAGACATGCTTGATGTTTCCTATGCTCTTGACCAATTTGATTGAGTCAAGCTCATTGAGAACGTTTTGGTATTGGTATCCCCCGACAATGCTGAGGGCGTTTCGGTTATCAGGGAAAACGGGCTCTTTCTGGCCCTTGGGAGGTTTCGTCGGCGGCCAGTGCTCTCGTTGAGGGCCGCAGGGTGTTCCAGGCGCTCGGTATAGCGGAACATGTGTAAGAAGAATCGTGGGAAACTCAGGGTCATCGCCTTTGTCTGCTTCAGTGGTCTTGCCCCAAGTTGGCTTCGATCTATCCAGTTCCTCAACGTTATGAGGATATCGTAGACCTCCTTTGAGATCATAGTAATGGCGTAATTCCTCCTCGACTGCCTTTCGCTTCAATGCCTTGACACCGTCCAGAAACTCATTCACAGGACCGAAGATGGGCTTCAGATCATGCTGCTTCTTGTACTCTGATGTATCAGCACTCAAAGAGACTGAATCGACAGAAACAATGGTGTGGTTTCCGATAACATCCACGCGGTTAACATCGCCAAAGAATGCCTCGAATCGATCTCGAACAGAAGTTTGCACTTGCGCACCAAAGCCCAAGTCATGGTTTCCTGGCAAACTGGCCACCAGCTTTCGTCCACGCTGCCAAGGTCCAGGTACTTCTCCTCCGTCGTTGAAGTGCTCAAAGAAGATGTCTCCGAATCTCTCGTACTCGTGCAACCAAAAGTCCTCGCCATACGTATTGTGCCACGACTCGACCAGCTTCTTTTCATCTTTGGAACGACCTCTTCCCCATTTCGGATCGACGAATTTACCTTCTCGCGTCTTCCACTCTCGACCGCCGTCGAACAAATCGCCCAGGAAGAATAAACTGTCAGGGTGTAGACGGCTTTGCATCGCTCGGTAGCCACGTCGTAGGTAATTATCGGTTATGAGAACCGTCAGAGGATTAAGAGGCCAGGGACGGCCAGGGTAGGAATGAGGATCGATGATTTGAGGATCGGCGACGAAGACGAGGTGGTGAGGTTTCGCATCTTTCGGCTGTAATTGTCAGTTTTTTTTTAACATATTCTTTCAAGTGCAACATACCCATTTCTCCCAATGGTCCCAATCGCAACTTGCGACTTTGCTACTGAACACCCATCTCTCTCCATACAATAGTATAGCGAGCCAGAGCAACACCAGCAGATGAGGAAAGCTCAATAGCCGTCTTGAAGTTAAATTACGCTGTAACCGTCGCATAATTCGTTCGCCCGTCGATATAGCCATGCGCTTTCCCGGACCGGAAGCCCATATTCTTAGCTGGTGCGCTGCCTGCTGTGCGTTGGCTGATAACACATGGCCTATTGACTGAATGTTCCTTGGGATTGTGGAACTGGTACGATACTGATATGGGCGCGACATGATGGCGCCATGCCCTAGAAACCGCGCTCGTGAGGCTGATTCTTAAGAGTTCGCAATTTGTCGTATCGTGCTTTGTTCGGAATATGGTTGTTTGGTTGTCGTCGAGATGGCCTGCGTTGATCGACAGTTCAAGGGACAAGGAGGACCCCTTGAAGTGAAGCGAATGACGATGTTTCAGTCAACAAGACTAGTCTCGTCCCGTGCACTTTTAATATCGGGTCTGTATCGTCATTAAATCCGCCGTATCCTCGTGTTCAATATTGCACAGAATCACGAAAAGGTGAAGAATTTACAGAAGAAAAAAAAGAGAGAGCGCGTGTTGAACTTGTCGTCTCCTCACAAAGAAACAAATACGTAGCTTTGAGCTTGTGCTACTACATGATTCGCCAACCTTTTTTTTACTACCCTCCCGCGCCTGCAGGTTCAAATTCCGGGGGTCGGATTGGAGCGGGATTAGCGCCTGGATACCCCCGCTATTCAGGGGTTTTAGCGGCGATGAACTACATCGTTTCAGGGAAAAGAGAAGGGAAGAGATATTCTTGGCTTTCATTAAAGTCATGATGATGATGGAAAAAAGAGACAAACGCTCGTATCATTCATATTTTGAACCAAAATTATACACGCCTGCTTTTGAGACGGTCATATGTACTAAAAGCTAAATTTGTCCAAAGAGATCAATCATCTCTAAATATCTCCAAAACTCCATCCGAATGCCAATAGGCATAAATAAGTCATATGCAAAAATATCCAAAAACACGCAGATAGATAGTCCTTCTTAGACTTATCTTACACGGTAAACATCAATGTCATCATCGTCGTCTTCACTATAATCATCATCCTCTGGTGGAGGACGGTTCTTAGCCTTCCTGCGGAAGCTGAGAAGTCTCTTGAACCCAGTTGGTTCTGGAGCTTCTGCGGCTCCAGCCTGAGCCATCTGTGGATCCTGCTCGGGAACAGCTCCCGCTTCATTCTCGTTCTCGTTCTCGTAGTCATAGAAGAGCTTTGGTACCAAAAGTCTGTATGGCTTGGTGATACCGGCAGGGTCCTTGGGGTTGATCTCGACGTTAAGGGTGATGTCCAGTCCACCCTCGAGATCAACAGTGTACTTGTCTGCCTGCTTCTTCTGCTTTGTTGATAGGCCGGTGGGTGTCCTGTAGAAGTCTCCAGGACGAGGCATAGGCTGCATAGGGCCCACAGCCTCTCGCGAGTGTGACATGGCTCGCGATCCAACAGTTTGGGCTCGCTGAAGTGGCCGGGCTGCCATAAAGTATGAGTCGTCACCCTCAGTGTACTCATCGTAGGCGGCACCACCTCTCATGCCTGAGGGGCCGGGACCTCCGCGTTGAGGGGACAGAGGCTCCTCATAGTAGTCTGGATCATCATAATAAGGGTCTTGGTCTTCCCACCTGTCATTCATGTCACCTTCGTCAGCAGCACGACGCTGACTAGGTCGTCGAATGAAACCAAAGAATCCCGACTTTTTGCCCTCAGGAGCTTGGTCGACAGACATGGATCGCTGAAGCTTGGCTGGAGGACGCTCGGAACTTGTCGAGTTGCGTCGCGACAAGCTGCGGAACAAACCACCGCCACCTCGGGTGACTGGGGGTCGGGATCCTCCGCGGACAGTCTCTCTGTTAAAGTCAGGGCGGGCATCGGAAGATGTAGACTTGCTCCTGGAGAGTGACAACCTTCGGAGAAGGCCACCCTTAGGAGCAGAGCTTTCTCCACCAGAAGATCCAGGAGGTGTAGGTGGTGGTGTACTACCTGGTTGCCACTCACGGATGGCGCACCAGTTTCGGTGAGGAAGAAGGTGCTTGTTGTTTCTTGGCTTGCCATCAACTCCCTGCTGGAAGAGAGGAATCATGTCTTCATCGGTCTGCTTGTCGAAGTGGTGGACCTTGTTTCTCTTGTTCAGCACATCAGCCAGCATGTCGGGGGGTGGTGTGTTAGCGATGGCTGATGAGATAATGTTGGGCATGTATCGCGGGTCCTTGTGCTTAGCAAGTCCAAGCTTGGGGTTGGAGTAAAACTGTCCAACAGCGGCGAGATGAACGTCACCACTGAGAATGGTGACTCGAAGAGACTTGTCGATAGCAAGATCTTGCAAGTCTTCGATCACGACAGATCGCTCCTGCTTGTGGCTCTTGGCAGTCCAGTGGTCATTAAGATCATCCAAGACTTCGACACCACCATCGATGTTGTTGAGGGCCTTGCCCAAGACACCGGTGCGTCCAAGCGCCTTGACGGGGTCCATGAGTCTGGAGGTCAAACTAAAACAAGTCAGTCGTATACTTATCAATGTCGTTGGAAATCACTTACATATTCTCCAACCAGACCAATCTGGGATAAGCAATAGGAATACCTAATAGCACCATCAGATGCTCAACCTGACCACGGCGGACCTCAGCGTAGAGACGGTTCATGATCTTCTCCCATGACTTATCAGAGACAACATCATGCTCCGTCCTTTCTGTGCGGCAATCAACAGCAAGGAGTCCGACCTTGGAGCCAACAGACAAGAACAGACTACGGCCAAGCTCGTTGATGTATGGGCCAGGCTCGTTGCCAAGAATCCAACTTGGTTCAGTGTTTTCCAGCTCAGTCATAATAGACTGGTGCTGGAAGAGCATGTAGTACTTGTGCGCGACAGCACCCAAACCGCTCATGATTGGGGACTTCATGTCGTGGTGAGGATATGATCCATATCCGTCAAAGATATCATGGTCATCCCACATGTTTACCATGGGAATTTGTGAGTTGGCGAGACCAAACAGACCTTGAGAGAACCACATGCAGTACCTCTCCAGATAGAAAGTTTCCAGCTCGTCTTGCATCTCAGGCGTGAGAGCAGCAGTGTGCTTTTGGATAGGGTTGCGAATGTTGAGCCACTCCTTGAAAAGGCTGCATTCCTTCGACACGCAGTCGTTGTAGATCTGGTCACCACCTCCAATCATAAGATGGAAAGGTCGAGATTGGTGGTTGTTCAACACATCGCGCCACATGGGGTCAGGTCCGCTCAGCTCATCAGGCTTCACGCTCGCGCTGAAACCGTTACAGCTGTGGAACATCATGTTCATCGTCTCGCCCTTGGCAGGAACCCAGAAGCCTGTGGCGGGGCCACGGTTGATACGGTAGGCAATGCGCTGTTGGTTCTCGCGCAGCTCGACCTCGATGTTGAAACGCCAGAAAGTACATCCACGCTCAGTATGGAGTCTGAAGCCTCTGATGTCCTTGTACTTCTGGACCTTTTCGCCATCAGCGCCTGCCCGCTTTCTGCGGTTAGCAAATGAGCCGGGCAGATCAGCTGGACCATCAGGACCAGGAAGCTCAAGCGGGGTGATGGTTTGCTCGAAGAGTCCTGTATCAGTCTCATCGCGAGAAAGATCCTTTGCCTCCTCCAAATGATCCACGGGGCGGACGTAGAGGGTTTCTCCTCTGCGGCCCACTTTGGGATGGCCGGCAATGGGATCGACGTACTCAGGAGACAGATCTCCCTTGATGCTGTGAGGAGGTGCTGGCAGCAAGTCGAGACTTTGAACAAAGAGTCGCAACGTGGGTGCGATATCATATGAAGAGTCAGAATCTTGAGTGACAATCATGATACTGCCACGCCACATTTCTCGCTCAGCCAGATTACCAGCTCTGTTGGGAACCTTCTCACGCTTGATTCCGCAATATCTCAAAAGGGGACCACACTTCATGAAAAGCGCAGGCTTGAAGCGAGTAGGGGTCTGCTCATCATACTCGCCATCGAAAGCCTCTGCGTTCCGCGGCTCAGAGAAGCTCTTCCTCTTGTCCTGCTCCCACCAAGCCTGGTGTGCGGCTGGCTCAGCAATGGGACCATCTTGTATATCCAGGTATGTCCCAGACAAGGTACCAACAGTTCCCTTCCTCCACTCGTCTAGCCATGTAGGTGGTAGGTAAAGACCGTCACCGGGGACCATATCTTCTGGTTGCTTGAATACCATTCGGGAAATGTGGTGTCCCTCAGAGCTTTCCGAGGAAAAGCTGTCTGCCCGGTTGGCTTTCCTGAGGACAGCCGCCTGGTTCTGAGCATGAGTCCCGTCGTCGTCCTTTCTGCCAAGAAGCCTGGTACCAATGGACTTCGTGCGTTGGGGCGGCGGGATAAACTCATCCTCGTCGGCATACTGAACCCTAGGGGCAGGGTCAGTAACGCGCCTCTTGATACCTTGGTTATCACCAGGCATAGGCATCTCCTGATGAGTCGGTATATATTCATGGGCTCCTGTGATCTGTGGAGGGTTAGGAGGAAGCTCCTTCTCCCTAGTGAAACGGTCATTAAGTTCTTGAGTAATCTGTTGGGTGTTTTGTCGGGTAGGAAGTTCTTGGGGAATCTGTCGGGCGGGAAGTAGGTCATCTTGGTCGTCATAGTAATAATCATCATCAAACTGGTGGCAGTATTTTGAAATGGGAGGTCCAGCAGGAGCGCGCCTTTCGGATACCACTCTGCGAGGATAGTTAAGATCAGGTGGAGGTGGTTTCCTGAGCTTGTTGCTGCCACTTCTAGTCAGAGAGAATCCTCCGCTTTGCGCAGGTGGCTGGACGGGCTGAGTCTGTGGCATTGACATTGGCATTGGCATCGGTGCTGGTGCTGGTGCTGGTGCTGGCGCAGGTTGTTCAGGAAGCTGTGCGTTATCTCGAGTCGCTCGTTCGCGGAAACTCAGGTTGCGCTGAGGAATACCAGAGTCTTGCTCAACAGTTCTAGGAACGGCAGATTGAGGATCAATGCGCCTGGGCGCAGGCTCAACTTCTGCTGGCTGTCGCAGTGCGCCTGATCCAAACGTCATGTCATCTGCTGGCCGTTGCGCAACAGAGCTGCGACGACGATGCGAGTGGCCTCTTTGTACAGTGACTTGAGGAGGTAGCTCCTGGTACACAAACGGAGAAGCAGTCTCTTCTCTAGGCGCATTCTGTGGTGGAATGTCTTGGTAGGTGTCTTGTGGAACATCGCGCTGTGTATCTCTTTGGGTATCTCTTGG